CCAAAAAGGAAAGCCGGCAAACATCCAGACCAGTCAATTACTTAACCAATTCAGCAAAAGCCGATGAGTGTTCAAGCATGCCACAGAAGCACGACCGAATGTGATCAGCGTTCAGGCATGTCATAGAGGCGCGATTGATGTTGATGGGTGTTCACTAACGCCTATCAGACATCCTGGATCACTGTCAGAAAATCCTCTTTAAATACCGTGGGCCCGTTGTAACTTTTGCTCTCGCACTAGCACGCGCCCACGCTATCGCACTCGCTTGTTCGGAATATAGCTGTTGTGTTCCCTTCTGTGTATCTTTTTCCAGGCACGCAGCACTGGAGCGGGTCAGCAGCAGATTCCACAGATTGGCGAATCAATAGATATAACACTTCCGAAGAAAGGTGACGGAACGCTTGACTTGTAAGGAAACCACTTGTCTCCAGGACGCGGTAGTAGCTGCCACAAAGAGCCCAATGTGCCGATGTATCCTAAACTACTCACAACCTGGTTAAACTGATTGGACCACTCAAACTCACAATACTACATTACTGAAGACAGTATCCCGTCTGAGTTCCTCCTTCTTTGACTTTTCTATTTGGATTGTGCCCATTTTGACCGTCGTGGAATGTTTATCCATCAACTGGTTTCAGTTGATCACGTCGTATATGTGCTGGAGAGGATATCACCGGCGCGACAGTGATAAGTCTGTAGCTGTCACACGTCGCTGAAGTAAAGTGTGGAAAGGAAGGAGACTTTGAAAAATGACTATGAAGAAGGTCCCTTTGAACAGCCTTGAGCAACATGTCAAACGCCAACAGCATAATCAACCCATCATCCTCTGCGCAAAATGATAGACGTCAGTTTGGCAATGCGGCCTATCACGGGAACACATTACGTACATGTTCTTTTGAGTTTCCGTCCGGTGAGGGGCGGGAGCCCCACAGTACTTTGGTTGACTCTAAGTTGTAGTGTCTGTAATCCGTTGTCACATTTACCATTCTTCCTGAACTTGAACCACACTTTGTAACTGTCGCTCACATTGTATCATGACGTTCGTTTTAATGTTACGAATACAGTTTTTCTTGGCCTTATTAACTATTACCGTCGCTTTATCCCAGACTGTGCCAAGGTTGTTCAACCTCTCACAGACCTACTACGACGAAAAACTCGCAACATCACACTCACCTCCGAGGCTATCAAGTCTTTCGAAACGGTGAAGGAAGTGTTAAATCAGGCAACTAATTTGGCACATATAAATCCTGATCCGTCTACACCTCTTTTACTGGTTACTGATGCCTCACAACCTGCAGTTGGTGCAGTCCTACAACAGGAGGTCAACGGTGAAATACAGCCTTTATCATTCTTGTCGCATCGCTTACAACCTGCACAGACTCGATACAGCACTTTTGGCCGTGAACTTCTCGCAATCTAATTAGCTGTTCGGCACTTCCGACATATTTTGGAAAGGCGACACTTCGTGATGCTCACAGATCATAAGCCGCTCACTTTTGCACTCAACGCGACGTCCGATCGTTATTCACCGGGGGAAACCAGGCAGTTGGATTATATCAACCAATTCACTAGTGATGTCCGTCATATTAGTGGTTGCAACAATTTAGTTGCAGATGCTTTATCCCGTGCCCATATCAACCACTTGGTGCACGCTCCGTTCAATCTGCAATTATTAGCTGAAAGCCAATAGCATGACGAAGAATTACAAGAGCTTAGATCACATCCTTCCCCGAAGTTCGTTTATATGCCGCTCTTAAACTGTGATTCTAAAATTCTGCGTGATATGTCCACTGGTAATCCTCGTCCATTTGTGCCTCAGAAATATCGTCGGTCGGTCATTAGGCATTTCCACTCTCTTTCACACCCGAGTATCCACTCAACCGCTCGATTGATTTGTGAGTGTTTCTTATGGCCTGGTATGCAGAAAGAGATCCGATAATGGGCAAAACAGTGCAAAACCTGTCAAATGAGTAAAGTTCCGGTTACGCCACCCGGAAGTCTCAACTTACCTGCACGCCGTTTCCAGCATATACATGTAGACATCGTTAGACCACTTCCACCATCCAACGGATGTTCCTATGTGTTAACCAATAGTCGATCGCTTCACACGCTGGCCTCAAGCAACCCCCATGCGCGATTGTTCGTCCGAAACCGTTGCCAGACACCTTGTTGATTCTTGGGTATCCTATTTTGGTGTCCCTGAGAGCATCACTACAGATCGTGGGAGTCAGTTTACCTGTTCCTTGTTTCGTGAACTGAAC